CAAAGATTGATTCCTTGTGACTTTTTGGGCTAATGGTTCTCATTGACATGAAGTGGAAAGATTATACTGAATCAATTGCTAGGTCTACTGCTAGGAAAATTAGTTCACTATTTTATGCTAGATAATTTATCTCATGCCTTTATAAGTCTACCATTCATCCATGCATTGAATATTGCTGTCACATCTGGCCTGGTGCTTCTGTTATGTATTTAGAGATTCTTGATAAAATCCAAAGAAAAATCTGCAATGTTATTGGTTCTGTAAGTAACTTTCTTACCGCTGTAATGTAGCTTCCCTGTGTCTTTTCTATAAATATTTTCATGCTGATTGTTCTGATGAGCTCTCCTCTTTGCTACCTAGACTTTTTTTTTTACAAATACCATTCAAAAAGGTATGAATTCATCCCTTCTCTCCCCCAGCTATGGGTTAATTAGTAGAATTTGTATCAGTAAAGCATTATTATCTCCAAAAAATTCTTACAATATAAAAGTATTTTTTGGCTTTAAATAACTAGCACAAGGTTGATAAGCTGTAAAAAAACAAATCAATGTATTATTTAAATGGCCTTGTAAATACCATATATAAAGAATTTAATTAATTTATGGTAATTAGATTATTTTTGACTGATTGCCATCACCTCTCCGATTAATTAAAATTTCCAAATAAATAGAATTAACTTGTCCCCAATGCTCTATATGCATATTTACTACACCAGATCTGGTACAAGGTAATATTTATGGAGCATACAGTAAACATCAGACTCACTATTCATGGCTTCTGAGACAATCTTCCTAATCATTGTGCTATGTTGAGTTCTATGATGTTGAGAGAAACTTGTTATGTATATTCATTGGCTTTTTATTTGAAAAGTAAGAAGATAGTTTGACTTTGAAGGAGAGTCTGTGTCACTTAATACCAGAGCAACATTTTTCTAAACGACGATGTATTTTCTTAAGAGTACACCAAAAGTTCATTTTTAATTTGGACAGCCATTGTTTATTGTGAAGAGTTTTCAGGCATTGTACTGAATCTAGTTTTTTTACCTGTGCACTTATTTTAAGAAATTGTAATCACTTTATAAATCTAGAGTGTTCCTAACCTTGCAGCTGCTGTTAAACCTTTGTGAAAGGTAAATACCTCAATCTTTTATGTAAACATATGCAAACTTAACAATGAACATCTAACAGTCAGCTAACAATTAATAAACACAGAGAGAAGGAAAGAAATATAATTGTAGTGAATTAAAGGGAAGACAAAATTATGATGAACTATAATTTAATTCATAGTGTTGGCAAGTTTATGATTTAGAAAGATTGAATACATAACTATATTCATTGGTGAACACTGCTATGTCATCATCTTACAAGAGATTTCCCAATTAAATCATTAACATATTTTTAAATCAGCATAATGCAAATAAAAAATTCTCCTTTTGGTTAATAATTTTTAACTAGCAACTCTGAATGGGATTGCTGTTTCAGTGTATCCATTAGATTCCAAAAGATCTTCAATTTTTGAATTTATACTACCTGTAATACAAGAATGGTCACCCATTTTGTAATGACTGGTGGTAGCATAGCTTTTTTTATCAGAAGTGAAAAACAGTAACTCAAGCTGATTTATTAAATTTATTAAAAAAACAGTTTATCATAAAATATTCACCTGTCATTAGATACATTCTTCTTCTCCTCACTGCCATGTACCAACTTGATTTGTTTTTTCAGTCACTAAATTGAGGCGGGTTTTCCTTTAACGCCTTCAGTACTGAGATTTTCTTTTTTATGTGTTTAAGTTAACAGAATACTGGAGATTTCCCAGAGACTCTGGAAAGCTATTATTACTCTTAACAGTGTGTAAAGGACAAAATGAAGACTAGGTGTGAATTTCAGAAAGTGGGGTATTAATTAATACTGTTTGATACTTAACCTTTCCAACTCCATACTAACTTTCAGAGTTGTATCCCTTGGATCCACATTAATTTTGTGTGTGCTAAGTGTTTAAATGGTTGCTATATTACTAGCACTGTAACTTTTAGGTTTTAGAGATATTGTTATGAAATTTTCAGAGTATTTGTATGAAAGGATGTAGAAAAATGTAGACATATTTTTTTACTGTACATATAAATTTTGAGAAAAAAAAACATGGAAACTAAAAAAAAAAATGACAAAACTGATGAAAAACGGTTCCTAGTCAAAACACTGAAATCCTAGCATATATAAAGGGGATCTGTTGTCTAGTAAGATGAATACGAAGGTTACTTTATCAAACCTATCAACAAAAGCAAGGCCAAAAATGCTTTCATTTCTTCAAAACAAACGTTTTTCCAAGCTCTGATTTGTGAGTTTGGCTGTGCTGTGTCACCTAATTTTGTTTTCACAGAGATTATTGATTGTTAGAGAATATGAGAAAAGAAACTGTTAAGGAGAGAGAAAAATCAAAGAATAATAATTAAGATGACAGTAGATAATGATTGACATTGCATTTAAATTTTTGAAGATCAAAGTCGATGGGGAAGCAAGATACCAAAAGAGAGATCCACAAGTGAGAAGTGCGACAGAAGAAATTGTTAGCATAGAAATTATGGTTACATCTCTAGCCATTTTAACTATCTAGATACCATCTAGGAAAGTTCATCAGAAGAATTACCATGAAAGTATTTATAGAAGAGGCACAGGGAAGCTATATTCCAGCTAATGGGAAAGTGACTGAAGTTGAGATGCCGGTTCACAACCAATAACATTGCAGATTCTTCTTTGGATTTTATCAAGAATCTTTAAATATATAGCAGGAGCACCAGACCAGAATTTCACTCTTGTTTGTTAGATGCAAACAAGAGTGAAATTGTTTTTTTTATATAATCAGATTATATAATTCCAGTTTCTTTTAATTGGAGAAATCTTCATATTTTAAATCTTATCCTATTTCTGCAAAGTTACACTTGTGTTTATTCAAAAATTGAAACATTTTTGGGTTTCATTATTTCAAAAAAAATAAACAAAAAAGCAGAAAAATCCTATCAATAATGACACTTAGCTTTCAAATGATCATCTCAATTTTTTAAAATTCATTTTTATTAATATTAATTTGTTACAATTATTTTATATATTTTTTTCATTGTAATGTCACTTTTTATCCCAACACTGCATCTCCATGTTCTTCATTACTGTTATTATTATTATTATTATTTTATTACTAGTTTTATTCCATCTTATTGTTCTTTCTTATTGCAGTACTCTGGATTGTTGCACTCTTTTACTAGTAATGGCTGGTTGCTTGTTTCCAAATATACCCATCTGCTAGAGTGGCTAGCAAATCCCTGTTGCAGACACCTGCTCAAGCACATTTGTGTTTCTTCAATACCCACTTGTGGTTTATACTGCAACTATGCTGAGCAGACCTTAGTTACAGTTTCTGGGAGAGATCATATATTCCAGCATGATCAACAATTGAAGGCCAGTGTGTTTAAACCCTCAGTCATAATGACTTGTGATAATGAGCAAAACGAGTGATTGTTTCCAAACAGATTTGGTCAACCTGTGGCATGGTTTTCAGGCACTTCCTAATAATTCTGCATGTTGGAATCTCCCTAAGCCCATATAATCAAGGGCACATCCTTGATAAATCAGTCATGAGAATTGAACCTGGGTCTCATGGTAAGAATACTAGCATTCTAACCACTTGGCCGTGTACCCATGACTGCTATAATAAACAGTGTAATATTATAAGAAAGAATTAACTCTTGATTTTTCAGTTAATTTCAGCAATTAATGAGTGTTTTCACCCTGATTGCTGTCACAAAAATCAGCAATAATAATAATAATATGAAATAAATGAAACAATGAAATTACATCGTTTGAAAATAAGCAAAGACTTAAAAAATAACTCTGGCTTGGTTCTGATTTCCAATTTTAGTAGAAAAAGACTTAAAAGCACATTTATACAATTTTAAAAATATTCATATCAATTTACATGCCACAAAGTTGCATTTCTTCCACATTTACCATTTTAGCTTTCTTAAGATGTTTTGGTCTTTATCAAAAGAATTGCTTTTTTAGGTTTATTCTGTTTTTTAATGTTTATATTGTGTTATCACTTTAAAGATTATTCCAATAGTAATCAGACCATCATTTATAATGATTATATAAATTATTGTCAAGATTGTAACTGCTATCATAGTATTTGTTTAAATGGCAGGATGTTTTTTGTATGGATCAGCACTTTTGCTTTGGGTCAAAATGTTGTTTATTGGTTTTCTACCTTGTATCAGAGTGTACTATATGCACATTCTGCCAATGATCAATGTTATTGCCCTTCTGATGAGTATCCAGGTATCAGTGCACCTCTTCCAAGGATCAAAATATTGATTCTGGCTATGATACACAAACTATTTATGCACATTCTGAAAAGTGTTATACAAGCAAATATATTTCCAAAGCATTAAAGGATTTTATTTTTTAATCTGACATATTTTTGTTACTTCAAACACTAATTTAGTGGATACCCATATTTTAGTAGACACTTCATTTTATTATAAACATTATTTATTTAGTTTATCTATTTGCACACCCAGAAAACCCAGGCATATTTTTTTTAGTAAGTTTTCTCAACTGTGCAGATGGTGAAGGATTTGTACACATTCCATCTCATGTTATTCAAGTTACAGGAAGCTACACAAAATGTTAACAATGTATATTAAACTTCTTGAAATCAACATTATATAATAAATTTAAATATTGATGGGAAAAATATCACTTCCTGGCTACATCATCATGATGTTGTTTTCTGATAATGATTTTTGATTATAATGATTGAAATTGTAGTGCCAGCTGTTGACCATTGGTAGGTAAATTTCTAATTTTCATCTCTTATGACAACTGTTACATTTGTATCCATATTTTGTACACTAAATGTAATAATTATTATAGGACCGAAATAGTATATTCAGTTATTTTCTACCTAATATTTCTCATTTTCTTTTAATAATTATTATTATTTCACAGGTAGCGCGTTTGCCCCAAATTCGCAGTCTGACAAGGGAACTTCTGCTTGATATTATTGAGGCACTGGCCAATGATATGAACGAGGCACGTCTCTGTCAAGATCTTTCCAATCCTTGAACAATTCTTTCTAGTCCCAGTTTTGGGGTGCATACATCCACAACTCAACACACACTATCAAAATTACCAGCAGCATATTCAGATCTTCATTACGTTGGTCAGTATTTCCAGGTAGAATTTTTAACTATAATTGGTATTCCTAATGGTGTCCATTGGATAGACTGAGTTATTCATATAAAGAAAAAAATAAAAATAAAACAAGCTCATTTTTTGGGAAAGTCAAATATCATGTTATCTGGGAGAAATAAATAAAGAATAACCTTAAAGAAAAGTTACAAAAAAATTGTAAGTATAAAATACAAATCACCAATCATAAATGTTCTCATAAAATATGTTTTTTTCATCTATCACCTTGTATAGATTTATTTGGAATACCGATATATATTCATGGGACAATCTAGAATTTTCTTCTTTTGATATTATTAGTTATCATTTAAAAACTTTGTTTCTTTATATTGCAATTTTCAGTCCTTTCTCTATAATTCATTTTTAAGTTCATTTTTTTTCCCTGATATGCATTTAGAGATTTTTATCTTTAAGTTTTTGCTCATCACATGAAATCCTTGCAAAACTGTCAAAGACAAAATATTTATTCTGCAGACTGAGGAGGAAACAAAAATGAAGACATTTTCTTTCTTTCTTCCTCTTTATTTACAAGTTTATACTTTTGGATTTTTGTGTTCACAGTTTCCATTTTTGTTTGTTAAAGTTGAAGTTATAGCAAACTTTAGCAGATGTGAACTTTCTTGTGAATCTGTAAATTTTATATTTAACTTTCTCATGAGAAATGCAATTTTACACAATATAGTTCTATTTTGAAAGAAAAGTGTTTTTGGCATAGATGTTTTTAATTTAAATTCAATGATATGTTTCAAATCAGAGGAAAGTTATTATATATTATCTGAACTAATGTCATCATTTGTTACAAAATTGTATTTCAGCTATTGTATTCTGCAGCTCTTTTTTAGGTGTTTATCCTGTGAATTCCACAGAAGTAAATAGTTCTCAATTCACTGTCTATATTAACTAGTGCAAGATAACTTCTAAGGAGTCTCTTGTACCAGCCAATTCTTGTGATGACATTTTTGCATTCTTCACTCAATCAGCATATATGGCTTTCAGTGTCTGACTCTGGGATTGTAATGAAGACCACCAAATGCACTTAATGAATACTTCTATCCATTAGGTCATTGTGATGTAGAACAATTAGTTAGTGAAATCTGTTCTTTCCTGATCTGTGAAAATCTTATGTTCTAGTTCACTGGAAAAAATGGCATTGTAAAAAGGAAAGGATTGACTGATACAAGTAAATCCCTTTGCATAGACAGTGGAATGGGAACAACCTACTTCCATGGATTAAATGAAAGATTTTACTTCAAAAAGAAGTCTACCAAATGTAATCATTATTCGAAGAAGGCAAGAGGTTACAATGGCTGAAACATTGTAACTATAGCAACCAAGACAAAGACACTAGCTTCAATAGATTATTGTATAATAATAATTCTTCATCTTGTAAAATCAGACAAATTAAGAAAATATACTTGGAAAGAGTAAAAAAGACTAATGTAATTTTTCAATGATATTTTATTTATTGGGAGATTTCTTTGGATGAATTTTGATTAAAGAAAACACAACAACTAAAAATAAAAACCTACACTTTCTATGCAAATGTTGCTATATTTTCATATATGTGTGGATTAAGTATTGTTATGTCAAAACTAAGAGACATCTCCTCCCATAGATATTGAATATTTAAAATGTGTAAACAATTCTTTGTATCTGCTCTGATATGTTTGTGATAATAGTATCAGGAATTTAAACATTGGCTTTGAAAACAATGTCATTACATAATTGCCATTGATTTAACCCTGACAAAAACATAAGGAATGTGTCATGACTGAAACAAGGACAGTGAGGTCATGAAATTGTTTTGAAATATCTTGTCATAACATTGGCTAGGATTCAATGTCTGAATTCTTCAAATCCTTCTCCTGCAGTAATGACAATAGTGACATAAAAGAAAAATAAATAACCAAAGATAGAACTCTCTTTGCTTCACTTGAAATAAAGAACAATGATTTATGAGGGAGAAGTGATTATATTCATTAGAATATTTTACAAATATTTCAGTGGATTTCTATTAAACAGAAAATATAGGAACAATGAATTTTGGTTCTTATAAGTGGCCATTCCTTTTAAATGGACAAAAGATGTATTGCATCCGGTTTTTTTTTTTTACAATTGGTCTTAATGAGTGGCATTTCATTGTAACTGATGTTCTTCTTTAGCAGAATAAATGATTGCATAGCTGAGTTGTTAGAATGCTAACCTTCTGACCATAAGATATGGGTTCAAATCTAACTATGATCGATTTGTTAAGGAGGTGATTTCTTGGTAATATCAATCTGTGGAGAGAATCCTAGCATGTAACACCATTGAGAAGTGCCTGAAAATCCCTACTACAGGTTGAGCCAAACTTTGTGAGTGATAATGGATAGATGGAACTGTTCAGAAACCATCAATTGTTGTGCTAGTATAAAGTAACAAGTCATTATGAACAAGGATTTAAGCATACTGGCTTTCTCTCTCCCAGAAACTGCAACTCAAGTCTGTTTGGCATTGTTTCAGTATATACCACAGGTTGACTCTGTGGGTGTTGAAGAAAGACAAATGTTCCTGAGCAGGCGTTTACAGCAGGGATTACCTAGCAATGGTAGTAGGCTTTATAGTTTCCTGACATTAACATGTGCTCACACACACACACACACACACACACTCTCTCTCTCTCTCATATATATATATATATATATATATATATATATATATATATATATATAAGAGAGCGAGAGATAGATAAATAGATAGAAAGGAATTAACGAAGTTGTCTAACTTTGATAATGGACTTGTTCAGCATTTGTAATAGGCAGCCATTAATTTTTCCTTGGTAATTGTTCTTCCAGAGCCTGACCATCGAGATTGATATTTCCCCTATAAATATGTGCCATGTCGTAACTTACAGATGAAGATGGTGCCCACTTTTAAGAGAAAAGGCGGGTCCCATCATGTGATATGTAGATTGTGAGGAGAATTCTTGAATAAACACTTTATTTAAAAATATATTTAGAAGAAATCTCTTTTCTTCAGGTTTCTGTTTCATTTGCTATTTTTATTTTTTTGTTTTTCTTGCCATGTTGTTAGCTTGAATAAATCAAAAAGCCATTTGTTGGTTTTTGCATTAGTTTTTGAAAGTGAGAAGGAATTGTGTATATGATAGCCCTTTTCTGTTTATCACTAATACTTAAGTTAGCTTTTGATTACTGTCAATTTTTCTGATTTTTCAGGCTGAGCATTGAGTGTTAAAAGGAGTTTAAATAGAAATCTTGCAGAACTGTCTACTTAAGGATCACATTTTCTTTATCATTGGAAACATTCAGTTTGTTGGTGCAGAAGGATGTACGATTGGTGTAAGGGTTGTAGGTTCAGAATGAAAAATTGGTGAGCCAAACTTGAATTCCTCTTGAAATTATTACATACACTTTTGCACTTTGGAAATGTATGAATCCATCTCTTCTCCACCCCCACAGCTATGGATTAAATATCAGGGTAAACTGGACTCTCTAGCCCTGTTTGGCAACCACATTAGTAGAAAGATAATTCTCAATCCCAAACTGTATGTGGTTTGGATGAGGCACCTACTTGAACTCTGAATAAGGTCTGCTCATCATAGTTGCAATATCAACTAATGGTTGCCACTGATGAGCTTGAGCAAATGGACATAAATGAGCAGTCATGCTGAAAATGAGAAATAACATTAAGTAAAAAACAGTGCCGATGATGAGTAGAGTAGTGCTAAAGTTACTGGTCAGTGATAAATGAAAACATTTTTGGTGTAAATTAGGTTCAAATTCAGTCAACGTTAAAATCCAACCATAATTCAGCTCGTGTCCATTGATCTCGCATATGAGTGTGATAGTGTGTCACCCCGTTCTCTAGATTGAAACAGATGGTGTTTTTCACGTTGCTAGCCGTAGTTAGTGTAGATGTCGTGGATAGAGGGAATCTTGCGTTATGAACGTTATTCACATCAGTATCTGGTCGGATTCTTTGGGCATCAGCTCAAAGATTAAGATCAGAACTGATAGAAAGGTAGATAACTGTGACAAACCTGGTTCGTGTGAACGGCAGGGGTTAGCCATGATTTTCTTTTTTAAGTTTCCTTTGACGCAACGGAGCTGTTTCCTGTGAACCCTTCGTTGGACACTATTTGTTTACCTATTTAATATAAGTAAGTGTTGTTCCCGGGCTTCTCTTTTGTTATGATCCATCTTGAGATACCCAACCTCTCCAGTTTGTTTTTGTCCTCCTTTTTTTATCTTGACTGGGTCAATCTTTGATTTTCCCACTCTGTCATTTAATTTTCTTTCCCACTCCATTAGTGAGTGTGCTTCTGGATTCTGTCGAACGGTAGAATACAGCAGCCACTTATTTTTAAGGGTTGGATGGGTCCTACTAACATCTGTTATGTTTTAGTTTGATTGTGTTATATTTTTAGTTGTTTTTGGGCTCATCCCCTCCCACCTCATTTCATGCTTCATGTAATTTTTATATATTTTTGTAAAAAAAAAAACAAAAAAAAAATAAAAGGTGGCGAGGAGACATTTATCAACTGTGAGATTTTACATCATAGGGTGTTTTGTAGTTTCGTTGAGAATATGTTGTATTGTGGTACATGTAGGATTGAATGGCGATGGATGAGTTTTTGTGGTGAATGAGAAAATTGCAAGGAATAAATGGGTCATGAGTCTGATTAATTAGGTCCAGGATAACCAGCCTTATTCTACTTCCCCTTCGGCCTTGTGCCACAAGTATGTATTTTTTTATACATAATAAATATTTAATTACGCACACGAGGTGCCAATGATCTGGCTGCATTAGTTATTATGTTTTGACTACCATTGGGGAATGTTTGAAATGACAGCTGTGATACCGTAAACGGAAGCTCCTAAGACTACAATAATATCCATGGCTGGATTGTAGTGTGTGTGTGTGTATAATAATACAGAAGTAAGGATTTAATACCATCAAAAGCATTTTTGTGACCAATTTCATTGAACATTCTTTTTCAAAAGGTGGTTAAGGGAAGTACATAAAGTTGTAATATTTGTCGGTTCTGGTATGTTTTTTTTTAATGACAAATATTTTCCAGGTCGTCAAGCATTTTTTTCGTAAATGAAACCAAGATATTTAATCGACATCCGGAAAATGCACATTTTGCAGAATTCGGTAACAAACAGAAAGTAACCATTGCAAGAGTTCATCCTGGGTCACGCCTCCAACAATGATATCATCAATAAATGCAGCGACAATCCATTCAGCATGCTATCCACTGTTTGCTGAAATGTGGCTGGCGTTGATTTGACCGCAAATGAGAGGCGATTAAACTTAAAAAGTCCCCTGTGTGTATTAATTGTAAGGAGCTCTTTGGACTCCTCATTGGCTTCTATCTGTAGAAAAGAAGCAGAAACGCCAAAGAAAAAAATGTTACTGAACTTAGTTTTGAGTGTGTGTATAAAAAATTTTTCAATATCAGAAGCAAGTTTAAATTTGTTAAACACTGAATTAAGAGAAACATTACAAAGATGAAATTCTTCAATCCATTCGAGATCAATTAAATTTAAAACAGAGCAATCCGTGAGATAACATATAACAGAAAAGTGTTTGTCTTTGAACGAAACATTACAATTTAACTCACCAATAAGTTGAAGTGCATTGGCGGGTGCACAACGTGCCATATGATTTGTATTTATCACCACAGGCTTTTAGATTTGTTTCCACGTTAGATTAGGCTGTGCCAAAGTGAAAATGGACTGAAATGTTGTTAATAAAAACTGATATTTCCTGCGAGACTCGAAATCCACCTTGAAAGCAGAAAATACAGAATTTGAATGTGACTTTTTTTTAGGTTCGGTTTATTCAGATTTTTTTTCCACCCTGAATTTAAAGCGTTCTTTTGTAAGTTGAAAGTTTTAACTTCCTAAGGGCTGCAAAACTATTCCTTTTGTTCGCATTGGTGACATGCTTGATATTTGTGTTTTGCTTTTTTTTTTCTTTTTTTTTTTTTTGAATGGACAGTAGCGTGCGTAGTGTCATTCGTCACACGACCAAAAGCAGTTTGGTAGGGGATCTTTGTTGATGCAATGAGTTTTTTTTGTTTTTACACTGCTGATGGTAGATGGATTTGCCCATTGTTGAACCATCATAGAATCTTGTTTTGAGATTTAATAACCATTGACATCCCGCAGTGAGAGTTTTGACGGTAAAGTTTTGATCTTGTTCTAGTTTGAATAGCAGTCGTTTGCGAATATTTGCATCCAGGGCATATTGCAGTCTTGCAATAAATACGAGGCATTTGAACTAGTCTTACGTTAATGCACAAAGCTGATTTTATTTTTTTGCATTCGTAATTAACTAGTTTTGCGTAGGTTACATAGTTGACTGTCTCGCTTTTTGTCAATTTTGCAGTTGTATTTAACATAAAAGTGTGACTGTTGTACACTGAATATTTCTGTAAGCTGCTCCATAGTTTGTATAAAATTTAAATGCTTGGCATGTTTAGGCCAAGATAAAATTAGTGAAACGTTCGTGCATCCTAGTGTCGAAGATGGTTAGCTGGTCTTCGAAATTTGTTGATAGAAAGTTGGATGCTAGGATCATAAATTTTGTGTTCTTGTTGTAGATAGTGCCTATTTTTTGGTTTTGTGGATTTTATATATTCGTTTCCTAGCGTTGAGGATAAAATGATGTGGGTGGGGAAGACATCTATCAGCAGCATTTCCCTCCTGAACGTTAGAAAACGAGCAGATAAAATCCACAAGACTAAAAAGTATGCATCATCGACAACAAAAACACAAATCTTATGATTCTACCCTTCCATCTCTATCAACAAATCTCGAAAATCATATAACCATCCCCAAGGATCATAAACACCACTCCCAAGACAATCAGAGATCGAGTTAGCAAAAAAACAGAACACCACATCAGATGCTAGGATATATAATGTTAAATGCCTGCAACGATATAAAAGCTAGAAAATATATTGAGGGAATATTAATTAATATCCTTCCATCGATAAACACGCGCCAGACACGCTTTTTCATATTAACTTTCATCAAATCCATACCTAAAGAATGTAAGTTCAAGATTCCTGCAGACGATGTAACCTAAATCTTTCATTTCATCACACCAAATATTTTCCGGATACACTGAAAAGTCCTATTTAATATCATTCATAATATCATAATAGAATTAAACCAACACACACCTACATACCCCAAATCTCCCGACACATACGATGTTTCCTTAAAATAAGTTATATAATAATAATAATAATAGAATTAAGCCAAATATACACAGCCACATACCTCAAATTTTCCGATACACACGATTTTTCCTCAACCATAGAATTTACACCAATATTAATTAACGTACATCTAACCAACAGTCAAGACATGTACCTACACTACCAACTAGAAATTTTATACACACGGACAACTTTTTCTCCCCTCACTACCATCTTTAGGAATTAAAAGCACGGACACTGCCAGACAGTTACAAAATACCCACTAGAATCCAGTGGCGCGCAATTGATATATATATATATATATATATATATATATAATATATATATATAAAGTCTTAAGGTGTGCTATATTTATGGGATAAAGTGCTCAATATCAGAGATAGAGCGTGTGTAAATATAAAAGTGGACATTGAAGGCAACACTTAGAGGCGACAGTCTGTTTCATGCTAGACGCAATCGTCAGACTACGAGTGCTGTTATTTTTCTCGGCTATTTATATATACGGGTCAGTGGTGAATTGTGGGTAGTCTATTTTGGCGGTTATTTTGCCAGAAGTCGTTTATTTGCTTATTTATTTATTTATGAATTTAAACATCTGTTTCTACATTCAAACGAGCCACGGACTGATTGAGATTTTGCCACAGTTCTCCGACGAACTACGCG